TAATGTTTGTTTCTAATAGTTAACACTGTATTACAGATTAACGCACATGTTTAGCAATAGCCTATTGCTTTTTCTCTGCCTCTGTTTCACAGGCTTAGGAATATGGAAAGGAATTGTTAGCACTTTGTCTGGCCTCCTCTCAGTCTGTACATGAGATAACTATACAAACATTCACGTGTCTCCATTAATAAACTTAAAAATAACTATAATCACATACTGGATTGTGACCATTCTATATAATGACCATACAATAATGAGCGAGTTAATATGATCCAGAGGTCAAGTGCAATTCCTGACAATGAAATAGAAGTCTTACTTTTTTTTTATGATGCCGTGCGTATTCCTTTCTGTCGTGCTCAGGATGCAAAGTGTTAAGTGCCCGAGTGTTGTGCACATCTAAGTGGTCTTCTCTGTGTCTGTCAAGCAAGATACTGCCGCGCAAGATGCGTTACCAGCACTGTGTGTTGTACTTCTGAAATCTTCACTGCAAAAAATAAAGAAATCGTGATCGTCAATGGCACCAGCCATGGCGGGTTTTCCTCCGTAAGTCCGCGAAGCCTGGGATGGCGTTTCTTTAAGATCCAGTGAGCAGGAACATGAGCAGTTTATTTCCAACATGGGGGATTTCCTCCCATGAAACAGCCGGGGGTTTGTGATTTATTTAGGATGCACGTGGCTTTGTCTGACCTTTCACAGTCCGATCTAAGCTTCAAGCTGGAGCGGACTCCTCCGTGCGTGTGCTGCGATGCGATGCTCTCTCTGGCTCAGGAGTCTCTAGTTTTCGGGTCTAAAAGCCTGCACGGTCGCTTCTTTCCCGCAGTGACGTCAAGAAGCAGCAGGCCACGGGCCAATCAGAGACAAGCCGATCAAAGATGACAGAGGATGCAGCTCTCTCTCTCTCTCTCTCTCTCTCTCTCTCTCTTTCACACACTCTCTGGGTCAGGTAGCGGATATCTGTGAGATCTTTGCTGTCACCGAGGTATTTTATAGACAATAAACTTTAAAAATCTATGGCCTAATTCCTTAATATCTACCAAATAATGTTTAACACTGTAATGTTTTATGTAATATGGTATGGCAAAAACAACACATAGCGGTTAATTGCAGTCACGAAATGCTTTGCGATAAGTTATATTAAAACAAACTGGTGAACCTAATGTTTTGTTTAAATTGGGCTGTCAATTTATTTATTTATTTGTATACTAGTGTATTTATTTATTACAATTTTCGTATTAAAAAATTTAACAGTGCTTAGGCAGTGGGCCTCTTTGAACCGTCGACGAATTTCGTTTTTGGCTTTTTTTGTTGTTGTTTTTTCTCATCTATTCATGAATTGAATCGCAAATAATATCCATTTTTAGCCTACTCGTTCTTCAGGAGTACAACAAAGGCCATTTACAGACTACAATGCAGACCTCCAGTCCACAAAATCTAAGAATAATTAGTTATAATCATCTTAATTAGTCGCAAACCTGTAAATAAATAAACGTAAAGCTAAACTGAATCTCCCATCTCAAGCGCGCGCACACATATATATGTGTGTGTGTGTGTGTGTGTGTGTGTGTGTGTGTGTGTGTGTGTGTGTGTGTGTGTGTGTGTGTGTGTGTGATAATACCTCACTTAACTATTTATAGGATACATTTAATTACTTGATAAAATACAATTGGTTTTGGTTCATAAAGGGACAACAATGAGACTGGCTGGCCAGTCCAATGGAAGTCCTTGACCCTTACCTTTCCATTTTGTGATTATAAAGTGCTCACTTTAAGAGTCCATCCTCTCGGTTTAGTGCAGGTCAGAAGAGAAGACACCGGTTGTCTTTTGACCTTCGATCTGCTTGTAATCAGTCGCCCTGCAGCGTACACCATAGACTATTCTAGTCATTATTTTAAGGTTTTTAAAACAGGCAGGGTATGCTTCCCCTGGATTTCCCCCCCAAAACGCAACCAAGGAACACGTTATATTTTAAGAAAATTAATATAGGCCTATTAGTTAGTTTAGTTGGTATGTGTTATTGGGAAGAACAGTGTGCACCCTAATTCCTGTTTTCTAATGCCGTTTTAGATTATTTTTAAAGTCACTAGTTAAAAAGTGAGGGTTTTTTTCTTTTTTAAATGTTCGGAAAACGAGATTTTTCTTTTCTTTATTAAAAAAAACTCTTGAAAACATTTTAGTGTACATTACGTGTACGTACATTTGTACATTTGTATAGGCTAGTTATATTTGTATAGGGTTACTTTCCTGGTGGCCTTTGGGAGTTGGGGTAGTAGACTAATTCATAGTAAAAGCGAAATGCCCTGTGAGGAAAAAAAATCGTTCTTGACTAAATAAACCAATACTGTGCTTTTATATAATATTAGCTATATTATTTATATAAAGATGAATTCATATTTATCTTTAACTTCAGCAGATGCTCTGATTGGATAATTGAGACATAGATACTATAAGTAGGCCTAACTGTTGTTAGTGGATCATTCACGTCCCGTAATGCGGGTTTTATTTTTTGTTTATTTAATTTGAACTCACTAATCTCAAACTAAATTATCTAATTGTTGCCAGGTTGTCTGAGAATCAAAATGATAGTAGGATATGCCTACTTTTTTGACGAGCCTATAGATTATTCAGTCCCACAAGTACGTTAATTATCCTGTAACTGTGCGTGTGTTTCTGCGAGTCTTAATGTACCAACACTGACCTCTAGCGGCGAGAGCTCGCTATCACCTGATTGCGTCAAATGTCGGTTTTTAAAAATAATAAAAAATACATTAAATTGTGTTCATAATGTTGTCTGTTTCTCAGACTCGTGCTAGTATGTTAATGTTGTATAATTCCACAGAATTGTATGTGAAATCTTAACACTTAAAAAAGCACTGACTATAGGCTACATAACGTAATCACTTCAATAATTGAAATAATCCGCTATTTTGTTCTTAACTCAGTCACACAAACACGGACACGCACATACAACTCGTAAAACCTTTTTAATGACTCTTTGTATACTGCTGCCTAGGTTAGGTTTCCGAAAATGCAACATGAAATTTAAAGTGCGAAACTAATGTAGAGTAGCCTATTCAATTTCTTTACAAAAATGCAGAAATTCTTGCGCACACACAGTTTTTCTTGGTCCAGTAATAAACACCACGAACAAACACCATTAGACTTGTGATATTTTCCACACATTCATATTAAACACAATTTATTTGCCAATGTTGGCCTCGTGTTGCTTTTTTTGCAGGGCGCCAATTGTAGCCAATTTTCTTGTAACTGTGTGTGTGTGTGTGTGTGTGTGTGTGTGTGTGTGTGTGTGTGTGTGTGTGTGTGTGTGTGTGTGTGTGTATATATATATATATATATATATATATATATATATATATATATATATATATATATATATATATATATATATAATATATATATATATAATACACACACACACCCATTCTTTAAGCAAATACATTTTAATTTGATTTCCTGTGGTTTATTTTATAATCATTGAAAAGAAAATTTGCAGCAAGCACTTTCGTAATGAAAGCAAAATAAGCTTTACACTTAAGTATAAATAAAAATATGCTACATTATTTTGTGCATTTTTTTTATTCTCGTGTCTCCGTGGCTTACTCCAGATAGAAAAATACAACTGGGTTATCAAGACCTTTGGTCTATAAATGTTCTATATTTTATTTGGTTTATTTTTGGGGGTTTTTTTTCCCCCTAATGACTTTTCTGTGTGTAAAATACTGAATGTAGACACAAATAAGCATGTACTGCTCTTTACAGGAGCTCAATATGTGGAATTACAAATCGCGGATAAATTAATTAAGCTAAATATTACAGATATTTCGCCTGTTTTAATCAGTTACTGTCTGCCTGAATTATGTCTGTGTGCAGTTTGGCACCAAAAGAAAACCCTTTTAACGGCTTTGTTCATCGACATCTGTTTAAAGGGTTGTTTTTTGTTTTGTGTTTTAATCTGACGAAAAATTATCAAACAACAACGCTATTACACAGCAGGCTACATATGGAAATTATATAATGCATAGCTACAGTTTATCAAAAGGTATGTTCTGAAATAAATGTGAAAAAATTCTGGATTTGGATTTGAAACTCCGGCTGTATATTAGTGAATAGTGGCATCTAGTGGACAAATCATCTAACTGCAGTAATGTTTATGATTTTTCGGTTTGGAAAGCAGTTAGTTACCATGGAGACAGCCGTGGAGCGCGAGAAATGTCGAGGGCCCCCTTATTATTAATATCTTATTGTATAATTTATATAAAAAATAGTGGCAGTAAATGCAACCTCAAACGTGAAAGGACACACATGTATTTATTCAACAGTCTGGATCGCCAAACCAAAACAATGTAGGCTAGGCATTGTGTTCAGCGAACTATTACACATCTAACCAATAACACATCTTACACTTCTCTTAAATGTGTTATTATATCAACCACTACACAGGGTCACGGGGAGCCTGGAGCCTATCCAAGGGGACTCTGTGTACTCTGGGCAGGGGATATCCTAGACGGGGTGTCAATCCATTGCAGGACAGAATCGCACACACAATCACACATCCATTCACACTCTACAGACAATTTGGAAATTCCAGTTAGGCTACCTACAGCACATGTCTTTGTCCTGGGAGGGGAAACCGGAGTACCTTGAAGAACAGCGAGAACATTCACACACAATCGATGTGTATAATAAATGCAAAATAATTTGCAATAAAAAGCTTAAAACGTGTGATTGTGTAGCCTAAGTTTTCGCCCCTGTTGCTGTGTTCTTTTGGAAAGAGACTACAGTCACAGTATAAATGTTCAGTTGACTTGATGTCCATAATATGATCGGGGGCGTGTGTTTGATTCCCTTGATTATGAGCAGAAGCGGTAACAGTAATATGTGTAAACACAGATTTCCTACTGACTAATTTTATCTCGATTATCTACATTTTCGGCGCTGGCAATCTTGTATTCAGCACCGTTTTTTAGAGCAAAACCTCTTTTTGACCCCGGCAGGACTTGAACCTACAATCTTCTGATCCGAAGTCAGACGCTTTATCCATTAGGCCACAAGGCCTTCTTTATGAAACTTTGACACGTTCCAATTGTGGATACGATGAAGTGATGAAGCGTATGCGTTAAGGATTTTCAAGTATTACCTTTCATGTAGTGTGTTATAGAGCTGTTTGTGAACGTAAAAATGTCTGCAAAGTTTCAAAGTCTAAGCGCAGGACAAAAGGAGATATTGACTCCCAAAAGAAGGAACCGATTCTGAAACAGCTGAAACGAGTCGTTGGTAATTCCAGACTTACTTCCTGTACTAACCTACGTAGGTTTGCAACAAAAAGCCAATAACTCTGGTCTTCACTGGATGCTCGCAAACAGACGGAGAGTCGTTATGGTAGTGGGTGTTCCCTTTTCGACAAACACTGACAGCGGTAGACCAAGACTTCAGTACTGCAGCTTTACAGTATACATTTACATTTATTGCATTTGGCAGGCACCCTTATCCAGAATTACTTACAGAAGTGCTGTGAAGTCTCTGTAAATAAATACATCCTGATACTGATTTATTAGGTCGTGGAATAAGGATACTGTCTTAAAATCTGTTGGGGAGGTAATATAGTAAGAAAAGTACACAGACTAAATTTTTTTAAAAGCGGTAATTTAAGTACTTTTGGGGAGGTCAAATGGAGCTCAGAGGCAGACCTGCCAGGAATTAGTTACAGTAGTCAAGTCTCAAAATGACAGGCAACTGAACAAGCACCTGAATGGGCTGTGTGGATAGAAATAGACAAATCCTTCTGATGTTGTAAAGGAGAAACAGACATGAGCATGTCAGATGAGCGATGTGAGAGGAAATGGACTGTTGGTTGTCCATGGTTACCCCAAGATTGCTCTCAGTGACTGAAGTTGAGATCAGAGAGTTGTCCAGGGAAATCACAAGATCCTTGGGGATGAATCATCTGGGATGAACAGCAGTTCAGTTTAGCTAGGATTAAGTTTCAGCTGATTAGGTGTCGGCCAGACACGTTGAGATCTGAGTGGAAGCATGAGTGTCTGAGGGAGGGAAGGAGAGGATGAGTTGAGATAAAGAGTTCTGATAAAGCTGCAACTCACTGCTTTCAGGTCTCCCAGCCAGCTCCATCAAACCCCTTCAAATGATTCAGAATGCTGCAGTGCGCCTTGTCTTCAACCAGCCCAAGACTACTCATGTCACACCCCTCTTCATCTCCCTCCACTGGCTTCCAGTAGCTGCTCGCATCAAGTTCAAGGCCTTGATGCTCACCTTCAAGACCTTGTCAGGAACAGCACCCTCCTACCTCAACTCTCTCCTGAAGTCATACATTCCTTCTCGCAATCTGCGATCGACTAGCGACCGACGTTTAGTAGTTCCCACTCAGCGGGGCATAAGGTCCCTTTCCAGAACCTTCACGCATACCGTTCCCCAGTGGTGGAATGCTCTTCCGATCTCAATCCGGACTGCAGAATCTCTCACTATCTTCAAAAAACAGCTAAAGACCCACCTTTTCAGTGAACACCTAACCTTCTCCTAGAGAAAAAAAAAACAAAACAAAAAAAAACCCACACACAATGCAGTTACACCTCTACTCTGTACACTTTGCTTCCTCTGGTATTCAATTAATGGATCTTGTATAGTAGCACTACTTGTATTGTTCCCTGCTTGATATATCGCTTTGCTTATTTGTAAGTCGCTTTGGATAAAAGCGTCTGCTAAGTGAATAAATGTAAATGTAAATAAATGTAAAGATGTTATGTTAAAGGCCTAACATTTTATGTTAAGATGAAGTGTAACCAAACAGCGGCCTTGCCTTTTTTTTTTTTTTTTAAATACATATTTCATTACTTAAGCACATGCAACTGGTAAAAATAGTATAATAATATACCAGTCCAGGTATATTATTATGTAAAGAGCCTTTATTCTGCAAGGGTCTGTGTGTTTGACATTCCTGCCAATAAACAGAAGAGGAAACACAAATAAGAATGAGGCTAGCTCAATTATAATACCCTTGTCATCGACTCTGTCAGATCTGTTCATTTCGTAGTCAGCATTAATAATGTGTTTTTGTTTTCCAGTATCCCTAAAAACCTCGACCCCGGCAGGACTCGAACCTGCAATCTTCTGATCCGAAGTCAGACGCCTTATCCATTAGGCCACGAGGCCGTCTCGTTGACCATTGGACTCGTCCCAAATTAAATAGCAAATTAAAAAAACCGCTACATCAATTGACATACGACCGCAAGCCGTAGGCCGAAAGCTGTTTAGCCATGCACCAGTAGCTAAAGACGTATAAACATGTTTGTAACAACAAAACAGCTGCAACGTGTAGAACCTTAGAAATTCAGAATATGAGACAGGAATAAAACTAATGCATACAGCACAAGTTCAGAATGAACTTCAATTGAAACCTTAGCAGTGTGCCTAACTGAAATAGACAGCAAAATATGGGGTCTTTATTTATGCTTTAACATAAGCTTGAGTCTTTATGTAGGCTAATTATGTGTTTTTTTTCTCATACAGTGATGCTTTTAGAATATTCTATATTCCTGCACAATGATGATGTTGGTCCTATTTATGCAGAAATATAGAATAGAACATTCTATAAGGTTAATAAAAGTCCTAAACTATAATATAATATACTAACTATAAAACTATTGGAACTTTTAGTATTTTTAGTAACAAGTAGCTTTCGGTATCTGGAATGACCCCAGCAATAACTGCAACTAAACATTTCCAGAAACTGTTGATCAGTCCTGCACATATGCTTGGAGGAATTTTAGCACATTCCTCAGTACAGAACAGCTTTAACTCTGGGATGTTCGTGGGTTTCCTCCCATGAACTGCTTGCTTCAGTTCCTTCCACACTATTTCTCTTGGATTAAGGCAACAATGTCCTTTTTGGATAACAATGTCCTTTTTGGATAACAGTGGCTTTCTCCTTGCAACCCTGCCATGCACACCATGAAACCACTGAAGCACATACAACTGTCGAAAAAAATCGAAAAATCGCTTAAGCCTTTAAAAAAAATTATGTAAATTGAGTCGCTTCATAAATGATAGTTCAAACTACTTACGTCATTGGGCCAGTGGCGCAATGGATAACGCGTCTGACTACGGATCAGAAGATTCCAGGTTCGACTCCTGGCTGGCTCGGAATTATTATTATTATTTTTTGTATAAATTTAGATTTAACCAATGTTACACCTAAAGGCGGAACGTCATTTTAAAACGGAAAATATGAGGTGTATTTTTTTTTTTTTTTTAAATAATACACATTAAACAAAAAAAAATGTATACAAACCAATTTAATCGCTGCTAATAGTAAGTTAGCAGCTCACTGAAACTCGAGACGGAGCAATATTAACGGTAGCTATAATGTGCACTGCGATCAATCTGTCAAGATTAGCGGTTAGATATCGATTCGGTTAAATGTTGCTGTTGTTATATTTCATGTTATATTTCATATATAATGTCATATAGAGCCGGCGTCTCGAGTGCGCCTTATAACGGGCCAGTGGCGCAATGGATAACGCGTCTGACTACGGATCAGAAGATTCTAGGTTCGACTCCTGGCTGGCTCGGAGTTACTATTTTCATTTACTGTTTTATAGACTACGTTACACCCACACAAATTTAAACGATATCATCATAATATATAACATAATGTATAAACGTTTTAAAGTATATAAAAATGTCTCATGGTTCTTTTACACCATTTACCATCTAATATTATTTAGTAAAATATCCAGAGAGCAGACACAAGACAAAACCTGCTCAAGACATTTGTCATTACATAAAGTGCTTCTGTACTGTACACAAAAATGTGATATAACTCAATGTTTTTTTTTTTTTTTAAATCCATCGTTTAAATTTAGTACTGTATTTATACACAAAGCAGTGATGCAGTTTAATGAAAAATGAAGGCACAATAGAAATAAAAGCAAACACATTTGAACTTCCATTGCTATAATGGATTTTTCCGAACATCAATGATTGCAGAGTTTGAACCAACAAGTCCTGGGTTTAGGCTTGACCTTCGGCTCTCCCTCCGTGGTTTGATAAGGGACAATGAGCCTGTTCCACTCCAGTATGCAGTGTTCATGTTCACATTAGGCTGGACAATTCTGTTGGCTGGCAGCTCACAAGCTACCCTCTGCCTAAGCTCCTCCATTACATGCTGGTCTTCAGTGGGGAGGGACGAGCGCCTCCATGTGGGGGGCAGCGGTGCATTTACCAACTCCCGCATTTCCTCTCTTGACTTGTGAACGCTGTCAGGTTCAGGAGTGTACTTGTTACTGTCTTCACCTGCCTTGCACTGCACCCTGTCTACTCCACCTACAATGAAAATCACCGGATTAAGATGATGACAACTGAAGTTTTATATTATATATTTACACACACACATTTATAAAATAAATGTGTACATAATTTCAGACTAAAGCAAACTAGCTCAATAGCGCAATGTTTAGTATGAGTAATTTAGGATATAAATTCTCAATTTACATTAGAGATACCTTATGGGAAAAAATCAATAATGGCACTATGAACTAGTACACTGTAGTCATTATGGCATTTAACTAAAGGCTCACTCGTGGCCTGATCTCCCAGTCCACACATGTCTCTTATTTTGTTGTTGAGATCCTGATTGGCTGCCTTGCACAGGTTTAGTTCTTTGCTCAGGTTGTGGATCAGTCCCTCGTACTGTCTCTGTCTACCAGCCAGACCTTCATCCATTTGATCTGTGGAAGAAGACCAGTGACACTTGTTTCACTTGTATGCAAGTACTGTACGTCCAAAACACATTCCAACTGATTACATGGGGGATCATTTACAAAACAGAACTGAAACCTTGTAACTAGAAAAGCTTACACAAATTACAAATTCAAGCCATATTTCATTGGGGCATACGGTCATATTAAACAGTCCATACAGAATTTTGCTGAGGTTTTTTTGTGTGATTGTTGCAGCCAAAAATGCTCGATTTTGCTGTAGCTTTTTCCCCAAAAAAATTTCCCATGCAACTTGGAGTTTTTATTATTTTTGCAGAAAACTAT